TTTTATAGACGAATGTAGAGGGGATGACAAGAGTCATGACACCCTAATAATTAAATTTTTATTTTTAATCTTATAAAATTAAGTTAATAAAAAAACATTTATTTTAACCTCAAAAAATAATAACTATTTTTTTGTTTAATCGCTTTACAAACTATATAGAACTATACTTTCATCTTTCATGAATTCATAGTATTATATAATTATTAGGAATGACAACGGGTGGGTTCGGGGCAGGTTTTGCTCCCCCGTCCCCGAAATGAATCCAGTCTCTATCCTGCCCTATTTCCCGTCGAGTTTTTTATTGGAGCGCCCCGTCGGTGCTTTTTTTTGCCCCGTCCCCGAACCTGACCGGAAATATTGTACTCGACCCGATCTCGAGAAAAACCGAGCAGTCGTAGTTTTCATAAAAAAATAGAAAAAACGGTCACAAAAAATTGGAAAATTACTCTACATGATTTACAATTCAAACCACAGTCACAAATTCAAACTCAATTCTAAATAATTGTCTAAACTCCAAAATAAAACACATACATAATTAAATACAAACTTGTTCCGATATTCAAATCATACAACGAATATGCATACGTAATATTAAGTCAAATAAAGTCATATAAAATCGTCGTGTCATTTTTGTTACTTTCTTTGGTAGCTCCCTACATTGAGAAATTTATCAATAAATCAACCAAATTTTACTTTAATAATTATAAAAGTATATTATCAAAATAATAATGTTTTTATAAACATTATTTACCTCATTCACGTCATAATCATATTCAACATAGCGATAATATGCCTCGGTCTCTTCCGAACAAGTTTCTATAAACAAAATAACATAAATTATCTTTTAACACAAATATTATTCAAAAAGGAAATGACATATAAGTTAGTATAAAATATAGTGTTACCGACTTACCTCGAATCTCATTCAACAACCTAGGTTAAATGTTTTGTTTGTATTATATATAATTAATATAAAATATATAAAATATATATATATATATATATATATAATCGGGGCGGGACAGGGATACCTTGCCCCGAACCCGAAAAAATTCCCGAATTTTACACCGATATCCGATTCGACCCGATATTATTTAAATCCGACTCGAACTTAGCTAAATTTCGAATTTCTCCGTCGGGTTCGGATCGTTCTGCCATTCATAATAATTATAAAATCAGTGTTGGTAAATGTTGCTTACTACTACTACTTTCATGGAAAACACGTCATCATGATTGATTTGTGCCGCAATACATTCAACAGACTATATTAAAATGAATGAGTTAATTGTATTATGTATCTTCAAATTTTGAGTAAACAGTTGATTTAGAATTTGTCAAAAAAAATCCAATTATAATTTTTATTTTAAATTTAAATTAGTCCTTGAACGTTTAAATGTTTTGATTTTATCCTCAAATTATGAATCCTATTCTAAACTAATCCTCAAACTTTTAAAAAATCTAATTTTATCCCCAAACTATGATTCTCATTCTAAATTGATCCATAAACTTTTGAATCTTCCAATTTCATCTCAAATTCATCAAAATATTTAATTAGTTTCATAGTTTAACCTAATTTTTTTTTCAAATACATGATAATATAGCTTGGCCTAACGATTTTTGTTGAGAATAATAATTGTTCTGTAAATATAGTTCCAGTAAGTTGTTCTTTGGTTTTTATTTACTAGAGCAATTACTCTAGCATCTATATATAAATGTTAGATGTAGTTTGTAACTAATGATTATGCCTGAAATATTCTTCCAAACTCTTTCTTTAGCAACTTAACAATTTTATTAACAAGGGACGTGATTAGCATATACTGATAGTTTAGGATGAAATTAAAACATTTAAATGTTTGGGGATTAATTTAAAATAAAGATCATAGTTTAGGGATGAAATTAGATTTTTTTTAAAGTTTGAGGATTAATTTAGAATAAGAATCATAGTTTGAGAATAATATATTTAAAGATTTAGAAATTAATTGAAAATGAGAAACTTAAAGAGCTAATAAAGGTTAAACAAAAGATAAAACTATCTACAAAATAAGATAAACTATTGAAGGACCATTTTCAAACCACAAAACAAAGCCAAACAACGAGATAAAACTATTCACGAACACAAATCGCGTATCAGAATCCAATCTAAAGGTCTAAAGCAGAAAATATCAGCAGGATAATAAATAAATATCATATTGACTAGTCAATGCGACGTTAAATCCAATCCTGGAAAAAATATAAACAAAAAGAACAACCAAAAAATGAAAAAAATATCGTAAACGTGTCAAAAGACAGAAAAATATGTCATAAAGACAATTATTAAAAACTAAAAAAATAAAGGAGAAGCAAATATGTGATATAAGAAAATAATAACAGTACAAGAGATGCAAATAACTCCTTTAAACATCGAAGTTTGAAATTTTTAAGGGTGCGAACGTCCTCAATACCCTTCACTCATCTCTACATATCCTTGAAATAAATCAATAATAATAATAAAATTATACCAAATAAGCAAAAATAACATTAAAATAAGAAAATAATTATACTAGATTAACTCAAGTACGGCACCCTAAACTTGTGCAAATAACTCCCTTAAACATGTATTAAATAGTATCGATTTCAAAAACTCACGCATTCAATGAATGTATTCGCATTGTTAAATTCAATAATTGAATTATTAAATTTGTATATATTTTTTAATATAGTTAAAATTAATTTAATTTTATATATTTATTTATATTGCCATTGATACGGCACCACGTCAAACCAAACTAAATGTAATAAGTTTAAAATTTCGTGTTTGCTAAAACAACCAGCACTTGTATACCTACGCACCTACTTTTTTTCATGATAACACGTTTACTATAATTCTATTTTACAAGTAGGATAGGTATTCGATCCGAATTTAGTGGTTTTGTATTTGATTTGATCGGATTAAATCAAATTTTTCTTTTAGAAATTTTAGTTCTTATTGTGTTGGATTAATTTTTCGAAGAGATAAAGTCGAGTTTAGGTTTAAGGTGAAAACTCATGACCTAATTCAACATAATATTATAATAGGATAAATTACATATTTAATCACTCAACTATTCACGTAGTTGTGTTTTGATCATCCAACTATTTTTTCTCAAAATTATATATAAATTTACATTTTTGTTCAATTTTGGTCACTCGTCGTTATGACATGACATTTTTTTTAAAAAAAATAAATGATAATGTGATATTATCTTATGATGACACATTAATATTATCATTATTTTTTAACGAAGATTGACCAAAATATAACAAAAACATAAATTTAATAATAATTGCGTGACAAAATATGTAATTCACCTTGTACTAATTAAAAAAATTAATAATTTAAATACACGAGTTAGTAATAAAAATTGAAATTTGGTATATTTTCTTTAAACGTGAGCACACTACATGCTTTTTGTCAACTTTTGATATTTGATTTTAGTATTTATACCTAATTTGATCGAGATTCTAAAATAAATTAAAATGGCATGTTTAAAATTATTAATATGTATATTAACTCAATAATTAATTTAAAAGTCATACCTGAACTTAATAAATTTTCCTAAATTTAATATATAAATTAAAATATTACTATATAATTGTTTTGGTTCAACTTAATTTAAAAATATTTTTTATTATTAGTTGAATAAATTATAAATAAAAAGGAAACCTCAGCTTTATGGGGGCATTAAGCTATAGTGTTAGGTAAAAATACAAAAAAAATGATGATTCTTAACTGTATTTTCTACCATTTAATGATCTATATGTCAAATTTTTAAGTACATAAATGTCGTTAAAACTTACTTTATCAATTATAATTTCTATATATTTTTAAAAACAGATTTACGTCCTACACTCAGATATTTTTTTAATAGTCTAGAATATTTATAAGATAATATATATTCAGAATCTTTTTTAGTCAACGACAATGCACACACACTCACAGAGACAACTGTTTAAACCTATAACCTCTAGAAAACAACATTCTCTTTAACCACTGAGGTCACTTAACGAGTTTCTTACATTCACAAATTTAATCAATAATTTTTTAAGTATTAAATATAATAAACATGTTCACTAATTTTATATAAAATATCAAATAAAATTATTAATTAGTACATAATACACATATTTTTGAAAGAAATATAATTTTATTATTATAATAGTATACCGACTACTTTTAATGAGTATCTAAACATATTTGTTAATGCACGAACCACACGATCTCGGTCGTGAAAGAAATGTTGTTGTTCTTTGAGGTCTTCGGTTCGAACACCATGAATGTTGAGGTTGTGAGCGTTCAATATCAAATGAGTAAGAATTATCTTTAAACATATACTACCCCATACTTAAATTAAAAAAATAATTGACCAAAATAAAATATATATATATATAAGAATATGTGTGGTATCGTAGTTTACCCTAAACAATATTTAACTAAAACGGCAACTACGATCACAATAATAAACAAACTAATATATATATATATATATATATATATATATATATATTAGAATCTAAATGAAAAAAGTAAATTATAATTTTCTATATTTTTATATAGAAATGCTACTATCTTTGTTCCATTATTTTTATCTTATATTGACCAAACACATTGTTTTAGGAGATAAGTTTGACCTCATGTCAACTAATATAAAATGAAAAAAATGATAAAATTTTAAAAGATAAATGATATATTTGACGAATTTATTTTGATATGTATAAATAATGAGATAAATAAGAATAAATATATATATATATATTATTTAATAGGATATTTGAATGTTATGATTTTGAATTCTAAAATGACAAATTGAAAGAAGTAAAATTTAAAATAAAAAAGAAAGAAATTGAAGAAAAGTGGAAGGAATAGGGAGAAGCAGGGTGTGGCCTACTCCTCCCTCCCTAAACCCTGAACACAATACATAAGAAGCAGAGTAGTGTTGTGTAGAAGGAACAGAGAGAAAATGGGGAGTATCTGTGAGTGAATTTTAAGGGTTTTGGCACTGCTTCTAACAGTGGCGGCAGCCATAATTGTGGGAGTAAATAAGCAGACAAAGTTCGTCTCTGTTCAGTTCACACCGGCCTTCCCTCCCGTCGACGGTGCTGCGAAAGTTAAGTGGCACTATTTCTCTGCCCTTGTGTAAGTTCATTTCTTCATTATCCTTGTTATTTATAGTACAAACTTGTAAGGTTTTTTTTTTTTGGATAAGTAGAATTTTATTAACCAGGTAAAAGTTCAGCATACAATAATCATCCCAATTGGGAGTATAAACACATATTTACAACAGAAAAAGGGATTTAGTATATACCCCAATAAATACAAAGTCTAGAATTAACATAATCTAGTATGTTAATATCCATGTTACTGAGTTTGATTCGAACTAGCTCCTTTATGGACGTGAGAAGTTGGTCTGCTGTTCTTGATCCTCTGTTGAAAATTCTTCTGTTTCTTTCTTCCCAAATGAAATATATAAATGCAGTCCAGGCAATCCTCAAAATGATGGAAAGAAGATATTTGCCCTTCCATGTTTGAATAGTCCATTCAATCCTTCAATCACAAGTTCTATAAGTATCTCACATGCTAGATAGATTCATAATAGAGTTCCAGAGAGAAGTAGCATAAATACAGTCAACAAACAAATTATTTTTGGATTCATGGTCCTCATTGCACTAGTCTGTCAGAAGCTATTCCCATTCTAAAAAGTCTATCTCGAGTTGGAAGGCGATCCAAAATAGCCATCTATGAGATTATGCTTAGCTTAGGGATATGAAGTGGAAACCAAATCAATTTATGCCAGGAAACTCGTCTCTATGAACTCTGATATTTTCCCAAATTTCTTTGTTTTTGTGACTTCAACAGTAAAATTTGGAAGGGCTTCATTTCTTATTTTCATGAGTTTTCTAATGGTCCAGCTATAGGAAGCGTTAACATTGATATATATTATTCTTTTGGTAGTGAATTATGTCTTTCGATTCCACCGATTTTAATATAGAAACGATCATCAATAAAGATTTTTAGTTAAAACGCATATCATTTTTTAATTTAGTATCTAATTTTTTTTCAAATAAATATTAAAATATATCATATTTTTAATTTAGATATTTAAAATACATTTTTAAATAGATATCTAAAGCACACCATTTTTTATCTAGGTACTTACAGCATTTTTTTTAAATCAATATCACGTATGAATTCTAGAAACCTACATTGAAAAAATAGTTATACTTTAAGTATTATTTTAATAAAAAATTGTAATATTAAGATGAAAATATGATATTTTGGATATCTGTTTTAAAAAAAAATATGTTAAGTATCTATATGAAAAATATGATAAACTTTAAGTACTTAGATAAAAAATGATTTATTTAATACTTTAAGTATCTAGGTGAGATGTATGATATATTTTAAGTATCTACTTTTTAAAAACTATATCGAATTACGACATGGTTCAACTCAGTCTATGTACAATCCTTAAACTTTGATCAAATTATTATAACATCGGTTAGGTTTGACAGAGTTTTTAAGATTTTTTTTAATTGTCCATAGTACAACTCATTCTTATAAATTTATGACAATAACCAAGCGATCTCAGTGGTTAAGAGATTGTTATTATCCATTGAGGTATTGAGTTCGAGCACCATGTCTGCACAAGTGTGTGAGTGTTCATTGTCAAATGATTCAGAGTCTTTCGAACATATATTACTTGTATTCATCTCATATTAATAAAATAAATACTATGAATTTATACAGCTGAATATGTTTTTGTAGGTATTTGATGGTGGCAAACATAGCAGCATGTGCATATGCAGCAATTTCGACTCTCATCGTGTTAGCGACCAGAACTGCAGCCATAGGGTTTGCCCAAACCATCATCATCTTCGACGTAACCGTCGTTGGGCTGCTGTTTTCGGCCAACGGGGCGGCCTTGGTCGTCGGTATCATCGGCTACAAAGGGAATTCACATCTTCAATGGAACAAAGTCTGCAATGTTCTCGACAGTTTCTGTGACAGAATCGCCATTTCCATTGTTTTGTCTTTGGTTGCTTCTTTTGCCTTCGTTGCTTTGGTTTCCTTGGTTGTTCTGTCTTTGCAGAAGAGATTTGCACCTAGAAATTAAAAAAGAATAATTATATTATTGTTTGATGCTTTTATTATGTAAAGAAAGTAAAATTATGTGAGGAGAATAATTAAAGACGAGGTTCTGTGATTTGTTATTTAATTAATTATTACTACTGGGATTTTCTTTGATGTACTTTGGGTGGATTTTTCTTCTTCTCAATTTTTATCATAAATAATATAGAAGATTTACTCTTCTTATTATTAGGAAAGCTACCATAAAAAGTTATTATTAGGGTAAACTATATAAATGGTAATTAATATTTGAGTAATTTTTCGTTCTCCCCAATGAGATTTCAGAAGTAACAAACTGGTCACTAATGTTATCGATTTATACCAAACCGTTTGACTCCTCCTCCTCCTCTAGGTTACTAAATAGAACAAGAGAGGATAATTCATTATAAAATCCTATAAAAAGCTATAAGTGATGCACAAACTAGAGGTTTCAGATTTTGTGTTCCGAGGCTCATTTGAAGAATCCTGCCTATTGGTCATGGAATCAAGATGCAGAGACTCTCTTCCGAATACCTATGATCAAGATAAAAAAGAGAAGCACAAAGGATTAATTGGCCTTGAAAAGATATCACATATGAGAGAAGAGGGAGAAACCAATATTATTACAAGCAAAGACTATCAAAGTTGTAAGCTTTTTTTCGAATAACAATGGTGTAAAATCTGAAGGGATACCTGTTTTATGGTGCAAAGAATATTAATTGGCCGAGTATCGTAGCGTTGCTTGTGCTGTGACTGAAGTAGTCCGGCTTTAATTATTGTTGAGTGAGTTAGGTGTAAAATCTGAAGGGATACATGTTTTATGGCGTGATAACACTAGTGCGGTAACTGTGTCATCTAATCCAGTTCTGCACTCGAAATTTAAACATGCCGAATTGAATTTATTTTCTGTTCATGAACAAGTTACTGTCAAGAAGCTGTGTGTGAATGAAATTCCAGCATATGAGGAAGTGGCGGATGTTCTCACCAAACCATTATATATAAAGGAAATGACTGAATTAATTAGAAAACGTTCTAACAACCTTAACCGTTGCTTTTTACCAACTCCAGTTGAGAGTGAACTTACTCTAATACGTTTCCATCAGTGTCGTGCCTTGGACGGTCAACTCTTCAATGCTCTCAGCAGCCACAAATAATCTTATAAAGCTCAACAAAAATTCGACCCGGGAACATCCATGGGACAAGAACAAAAAAGATTAAAATGAAAATAATACCTTGGATGGAGGAGCAAATATAGAGCCGAAAACCCCAGAGCAAGAAGAAGGTAGGTCTTTTGAACCAAAGAGTCGAAAATCAAATGAGAATATCTATCCTTAATTAATATCCAGGGTGATTCGGATTCGGATGAGAAGAAGCCTCTTCGTGTTGAATTCAATCTTGACTTCTTGTATTTTGCCTACTTTGTGGATTGAGGGCAGTTGCAGTTAGTATTAGTAGTAGAGGGGTGAGTGTGACTACCCCACTTATGACCTTATCCCTTTATCATGTTGGGTCTTGTTTATTCACTCTCTCTTTACATGACTCATTTGGAGCTAATGGTACTAAACCTGGAAAGCCCTTACGTTTAATGTTTAAACAAAAGTTGCAAAACTGTAACACGTTATAGAACATGTATAAACCAATGGATTTCTCTAAGTTAAGGTTACAGAAAGAACAGAATTTATCAATCTCTTGAAGAACTATCCAAATTCCAAAAAGAAATAAGAAGAAAGGGGGGGTTGAAGCGCATGATGTACTGCAACGTGACAGGTTCTCCACCAAACCATCATTGGCTCACTGCATATCTATTTTAAGACCATTTTAAGTAATCATACTCCTGGGCCTTTTTCAAGGGAAGAAGAGGAGTCGTTGAGCTCTAATTCTGGATCTGAGGAGTCAAACGTGTTGAGTCATCTAATTTAACGTGCCACATCAGCATTGCATTACTGTAGGAATGAATGTTAATGACGAGTGACCGATTTGTTATAAATCAATAACATTAGTGATCAATCTGTTACTTATAAAACTTCAGTGAAGAAAATGAAAACTTACTCAAATATTAGTGGTCATTTGTATAGTTTACCCTTATTATTATGGAAAATAATAAAATTTTAATTAATTATTCAATTTCAAAATTAACAAGAAACAAATTATTTAAAAAAACTAATTTACATAGTTTCAAGATACATAAAAGAATTATTATCAATGTTTTATAATCAAATTCTTTTATATTTGTAATTGTTAATAGGATACACCCTAATTATACTTAAAAAAAGTTATATACTAATGAAGTTAAAATAATTGTACAGGGGTTCTTGAAACTATAATTTCATTCTAAATTAATAATAATTTTTAAAATATTTTATATCAATCTTTAAATTAGAACACATTCTAAATTAACCCTAAACTTTAGATCGTTTTAAATCAATCCTTAAGTTATCAATATTATTTTTTATTTTAATCTCATTATTAGCATATCATTAATTCTATTAAATTTTAACAATCTAAAAATTAAACTTATAACCTTCTAAAAGAATGGAATATATTTTTACATAGCTATACTTTTGTATAAAAATAATAAATTTTACACATTATAAATAAATTTATTTATCCATAAAATAATAGATATAAACATGTCAAATATAAAAAGAAAATTATATAATATTTTTAAAATATATAATATATAATATTTTATATAAAAAATTATAAACATAACAAAATTTTAAAAATATATATATATAATATTTTAAATGCTAATATTACTACCTTATAGCGTTTAAGAACCCTTTGATGTTTCAATTTAACTCCAAGATGGAGAACGAATAAACTGAGAAATGTTTATAACAAAATACATAAAAATGGCAGTCATTTTGAATCATAATACAGTGAATCATAATCAATCCAATGGTAACGACAGATCGAGATGATCGAAACACGAAACGCAAAATCGAAGAATTTGTCTTCCGTTCTAATGGTTAACAACTAAACCTTTCGACACCACGAGCTCATTGGCTTAGGTTCTTCGATCACGATATCCTCACTGAGGGAGTTCTGGCGGGGCGATTGTTCGGGTGTTATATGATTGACAGTGACTGCATTTCTGTCCGATTATGTGGAAGTAAACTTCGGTGGTGTCGTTGCAGTCATTGCATAGGATCCAAACCTGCATTTCAATGATCAAATCAACTCGATATTCGAGTGTGGAAGTAAACTTCGGTGGTGTCGTTGCAGTCATTGCATAGGATCCAAACCTGCATTTCAATGATCAAATCAACTCGATATTCGAGAATAGAACACAAAACTAGAGGTTATTTAGACATGAAAAAGAATTGAAATTGCAGACCTTCCTATATCGATAATCCTCGGGCATTGGAGTCGCTTCGATCTGTCAAAGAACAAGATTATTCGATCATGATTCAGCTTTACAGTTCGATGACATTAAACCCGAAGAAATCTTACCTCTTCATCTATCCTCTTCCAGGTTCGGGACATATCTGAGGGGGGAAAATGAATTCAAATCAGCATATCAGGAATGAAACTCAGATTTTTAACCAATGAACAATTAAATCTGAATCGAGCTTTAGACAAAACAAGAACATGTAGTCGCTCACTTGTCGCGCTTTATCATCTCATGGTAACATTCGCAATGCATCGTGTGACCACATTTCATCACAGTTGTATCCTTCAACGAATCGAATAGGTACTGGAGAAACAAAACAACGTGTCATTAGCTGACGAGAATAATTTGAGATGACAAATGGAAAAAAACTGGTAGACATATTACCTCGTAACAGATGGGGCAGTGATGCTGCATTGAGTTCTCCACACAAGTATGATTACCTCGCAAGGCAACGGAATAGCAAGACCCTATGGGATCACAGATTATAAGGCTATTGCACAAATCGAAACCATGCCGGCATTCGATAACATGTTACTCGAACTCGTAAAAGAATGTGTTCAAGTACATACCACACTTCTTGCAGTGAAAAAAATTCTCTCGACCACCAATTCTGTTCCCAAAACCATTCCATTAGGTTCCATCAGTTGCATTCGAATAATAAAAAACAGCATAATATTTCATATGCACAAGACTTGGAAACTAACCTGCAGATCCCACAATCATGACAATGAAACTGCCCTTTCTCAGTCTGCATCACATACAATCAGAAGATAAACATCAAGGAAAAGCAGAGATCTGTTAGACTCGATTACGAGTCTCAGACACAGATACTGTTACATATCCGGACAATCTTCGGATGATTATATTCATGTACTTATGTCTGCATATGTGTCGAACACTTATAAATCATCATCAATGAACTAAACTCTATCAACTACTTCATAATTTCTTCTACATATATATATATATATGAACTTAGACTCGATTGCTAGGGTCAGACGGATATTTTTACATAATCCGACAATCTTCAGAGGATTACATCAATGTACTCATTTCCGGATATGTGTCGAACACTTGTACATCATCATCAAGGAACTAAACTCTATTAATTACTTCATAATTTCTTCTACATATATATATGAACTTACATCATCATCAAAGAAGTTGCAAATTTTGCAGAAGTATTCTCCCATGTTGATGCCGCAATTTGAACAAGCTTGGGCAACCTAGAACAACATAATCCAACATCAAACTTGAGAACTTGAAAGAAAGAAAGAAAGAATAAAAACTGAAACATACATACCGGCTGCTCTGTGTCACAGACCGAGCAAATAACCTTAAAAGAAACAAATTAGAAAGGACAAAGACATATCAGCAACATAAATAATACAAAAAGGAGAGAGAAAAATTAAGTTGAAAAGCTCGGATTTTCAATGGCGTACTTGCTTAACATCTTGTCGAACAAGCTCGTGCCTATCAAAAGGGTTACTCAACAGGTTCTGAAGAACAGATAAGTAAACTGAAAACCAGCTTAAAACAGAAGATTAAAAAAACAGGGGAATCCAAGAGAGAGAGAGAGAGAGAGAGAGAGAGAGAAATACCACAGCTTCGTTATGACAATGGCGACAGGGGAAAACCTCGTTGCAACATGGAGCTCGAATCTCGCATCTCCTTCTATAATGTTGGCATCTAAGAAATCCAGAACAAAAACCTAGAAATCATGGGTGGAAATGAATCCAAAAAGAAAAAAAGCAGAGGAAGAAGATGAAAGAAGAGATACATACCCATATCCCATCTTCCCAAAAGTAAGGCGTTCATTGGGTGAAGAGGCTTCCATCTCCATGAGTGTTGGGTGGGGGAAAAACAAATCCCAGAAAGAGATAAGGGAGATTCCTGATATGGGAAGATGGGGTTAGTTTTGGGGGTTTGTCTTGTCGTAATCTTCCAAAGAAGATGAATGAAGCTCTGGTCCCTCCACCTTCATGAAAAGACCTCTCATTTATATAATATTTTTCTCTTAATTATCGCCAATATTAAACTGAGAATGATTTATTGGGAGGAGGAGATAGGATAAGGGGATGGCGGGATGAATTTAATAGATAAATTTATTATAATTCAGAGTATTTATTTATTTATTTATTATTCTAATTCAGAGTATTTATTATATTGACTTGATGTATTAAGTGTTAATTTAGATGAGACGTGAGCTGAGACTTATTTAAAATATATGATTAGATTTTAAATATGCTTAATATTATATAGATGCTTTAGAGTTGGTGTATTGAAAAAATTACTGATGTTATCTTTTTTTAAGGAAAAATAACAAAATTAATCTCTTTTAACTTTTGCATAAATAATTATTTTGATGTATATTATATTTTAAAGTATTTTTAACTCTTAAAATTTTATTTTGTTGTCAAAATAGGTTTTATTTGATGTAAATTATTAGTTGACTAACAGTAAATATATTTTGTGAACGTGATATTTTCACATATATTTAATTATTAATATGACAAGTACCACATCACTATAGTGATGACATGATATGTGTTATGTTATCAAATTAATTTTTCTAAAATAATGATGTGACATGTAACACATCATTAAAAATAATGTCATGTCATCTAAATTATGACACGATAAATGTCATGTCACTCAAAATAATTATATGGCATGAGTATAATTAAATAAGCACATGTAAAATGTTGTGTCATTAACATGTCTTGACCGTTAATTAACTAACAGTTTTAATCAAGCAAGATTAATTTGACAAAAAATTAAAAAATTGTATATGATCCCATAATAAAAAGGAGTTAATTTTATCACTATGTCTTTTTTAAATAGTTGAACTCATTTTATTCACGTGGTGATAAATGTATATATATTTAAAATTTGATTTACGTATTTTAAATATGATATATAATATATTTTAACCGACAAATGACGAAAGGACTTAATTGATACGACGTCAATAGTTAGAAGATTAAATTATAATACTTTGAAATCCAGAGACCAGTTTCAAATATAGAACATAAATTGGGAACGTATTGTAAATTTACCCTAATTATTTATTAATATCTTATAGGTGTGATGAAGATGTGATGACTTTGAGATAAACTAGATCAGGCGCCGCAATGTCAGCGAATCACGTTTCAGACTGTAAATATTCTTTTTGTAGTCATTTTAACAAACACGTGATGGGCACATGATTCCCAATACTGTTCCCAAACTTCCAACTTGAAGATTGAAAATGTGGGTGTCTGGCTAATTTTTCTGTAGGCTGATTTAATTTAAGATTAATTTAGAACTATTTTTAATTGAAAATATAAATTTGTTTATACTTTTTTTTATAAAATTTATGATTGTAATCGATTTTTATTATTTTTAATATTATATTAACAAATTACATTTTAAAATTTCCGGTGAAGTCTTATCTTAAGAAATGTCAATTTTATAAATTCACTTTATCTTTTTATCATTTGATTGAGATTTATGATGGACTTATAATGACAGGTTAAATTATCATTAAATTATCTTAAGAAAATAATTAGAAAATATGTTAATTTTAATATTATTTAATAAGTTACGGTGAATTAAATAACAAAATTAAAAATTATGTTTTTATATTTACAAATAGATCATTTTTCTTCTAAAATTTATAATAGATTATTTAATTAAAATATTGATATAAATATATTATTAATTATTAAATGTTGAAAGAGAATAATGTATGACATAATATAATAATAATAAGTTTAGTCTTTAAAATTTATATATTTTATCAATTTAATTTTCATTTGATGTAATTTAATAAATGTATCTTTTCATTGTTAATTTTTTTTATCATTTTTGTCCTTGCTTAGATTATTTGTTCTTCTAGATATATTATATTATTTTTGTGTTATAAGAATAGTTTAACAATAATTTATTTAACTATTATTTCGATCCGATAAGATGTTTTTCTTTGACAGTCTCAAAAAAAAAAAAGAATTAATAAAAATTTCAAATATAAAAAAATAAATTTATTAAATTATTTTTAATTAAGATAATTAATAGTATATACAAATTCTAATGAATATAAATATTATTATACCACATTAGACTTTCATTTTAACTTTTACAACAAAATAATTTATTTCTAACAATATTTAAATTAAACAATTCATTTATAAATTTAGAAGAAAATTAATATATTTATTATTAAATCTATATAATAAAGTGACGTTGAATGTAATCTACCCTTCTTTTTAATATAATACCTTAATCTATTTAATTCAGTTTGAAAGTGTCTGTATGAAGAGTTCCTTTCTTGTACACAATTCCAAAGAAGAAAAGGCAAAAGGCTAAGTTATAGAAATGTGTGCATAGTTTTGCAGTGCCAAGTGAATTGGATGTTTGAGAAATTCAGATGCATACAAAAACTAACTTTCACTTCTCTTAATATTCTTTTGTTTTTTGTTCGTCAGATCTGCTTAGCTCAGGGGTTGCACGAGTGAGTGAGACACTAACTTTTCACCGATGCTTTTGATTATTGTATCTATTTTATAATTCATAAATACCATCCCTCCTAATAAAATTTAAATTTATTTTAAAAAATGTAAAATATTTTTTTATTATAAATATAAAATAAATATAAGATAAAATTTATTTAAAAATGATCATTTAATAATAAATATATATAATCTTACATACACGATACTCGAATCTAAAATCTCAAAAGGATAAAATGAGTCAGTAAACTCTTTTTTTATCCCACTCAACCCGAAAATTAAAAACTCCTGCCCAATCCCGACGTTTAGTAATATTCCACTAACCCTAAATTTTAGAGTAAAAACTCAACACAATTCAATTTTTTTTACAAAATAAAAAGATAATATATATAAATACATCATATTAATTATTTTTAAATATATACAAGATAATTATAATAGGTTAGAAATTTTAACACTAATACCCAGCCTGCCCAAAACTTAAATTTCAAAATAAAAGTCATACCTTATAAGATCGGATCGAACACGTAAAGATCAAGTAGTTTGACCATCCCAAAATAATACATTAAAAATGATTTTCTACAACGTCAAAATTCAAATTTATAACATTATTTAAAAGATCTAACACTTCATCACATTAAACCAACCAATAGTTATAGACATTCAACAAACTTGATATACGACTCCCAATAAGAATTAACAACTCTCTTTTTATTCTCAGCCACCTCCTCTTTCATACTGAAAATCTTTACTCCCCGAATGCTCGCGAAGACTAAGAAATAAGTAAAATAGATTCGGATTTCGGACTGAACTCAAAGCTTAACCAAGTTACTTTATTGCAGGATAAATAATTAATCACAGGAACTGGCCATTGGCTTAATATATAGACATTATAGACACTTTTGGTAGATATTTACATAAATTCATTCCTAAATCTGTATCGTTCCAATTTTATCGGAACCTAAATTATGTTCGTTTTCAATGGCTTTTACATGGCTTGAATGGAAGAATGATAACGTAGTTATTACCGGAAGCGTAATCCGATGAACCACGGTACCAGGCCAGTCATTGTCCAGGAGAAACTTTAAACTAGAAAAACTATGCACTAGCTTTAACTTCCCCCTCATTTGACCGAGTGTTCGTTTTCAAAACACCCGTGGTGGGAGTTCTGGACAAATAAAATTTCCTTTGAGATCTGTTTTGCCATACTCTGAAACCCGAGGATCCATCACAATTCTGCATGAACTCCATTCTCGGCACATTAAATCGACACCATAATAACTCAAATGGTCAATGATGCTGTTACCTGTTACTGACCTGCAATAATAACTCTATTTAGTCGTGCTAAGTTCTCGGTTAGCAAAAGAGGAAACGACTGTTATAGATTGAAGAGAAATAGAGAAGAATTTCGAGAAAAATAGGAGAGAATAGGAGAGATTTTAGAGAGAAGGAAGTTCATTCATTCTTTTCTTAACCATTTTTTGTTTACATTGCCAATTATTTACATACACTCATTGAATCTGTTATGCCAGCTGGACGTCTAACCAATTCTGTTATCATAACAGGAATTGGGCTTCTGTTGGGCTTCCTGTGCTCCACCTGTATCTGCTGGACCATCATTCTAAATCTGCTGGGTAATTGTTTTAATTCCCCCCCCTGCTCTTCACGTGCTCTGCCCTCAGGTAATCACCTCTCAACTCAATCTTAATCCCTAACCCTTGATTATTCATTTCCCCCAATTCTCCCACTTCTTCTTCGATACTCATCTCTCGTCTTCCATCTTCTCCTTCTCGTCTTCCCTCTCCAACCATGACAATACCCGCCCCATCAGACGATCCTTGTCCCCAAGGATCAAACGACGGAAACTGCCCTCGCAGCACTGAGTAATCTTCCCAGGTGTCGTGCATCTCGTCCAGGTTAGTCCATCGAACCAGTAATTGTGTAATTGGTTTATTGTTTCGATTAACAATCCTTCTGCCTAATATTTTGCTGGGTTCTACTCGAAACTGACCTTCATCATCAATCGTAGGAGGATCTGTGGAAGTTGTTGCTTCAGGCCCAACATGCTTCTTCAATAAACTGACATGAAAGACTGGGTGCAACCGCGAGGAATCTGGTAAGTCTAGTTTATAGGCTACTTCCCCAATTTTTTCAATAATCTTATAAGGCCCATAAAACCTTGCTGCTAATTTCAAGTTTTTTCCTTAGGGCGATGGAAGTCTGTCGATATGGTTGCAGTTTCAGGTATACAAAATCCCCAATCTGAAATACTCTTTCTGATCTGTTTTTATCAGCTTTCTGCTTCATTCTATTACTGGCCTATTGTAATTGAAATTTCACCAATTGTTTAATGTCTTCCCTGCTTCGCATTAATTCTGCCACTGCATGCACTTGAGTGTCTGTATACCAAACCATTGTAGGAGGCTTATATCCATAGAGAGCCTGAAAAGGTGTTAGTTTTAAGGCAGTATGGTAGGTAGAATTGTACCACCACTCAGCATGTGGCAACCATTTAGCCCATTGCTTTGGTTGGTAAAAACAAAGCCCTCTTAGGTACTGTTCTAAGCACTGGTTCACCCTCTCTGTTTGTCCATCCGTTTCAGGATGGTAAGCAGTGCTAAATAGGGTCTTAGTCCCTAAAAGCTTCATCAGTTCTCTCCAAAAGAGGCTAGCAAAGGTCTTGTCTCTGTCTGAAATGGCCATTTTAGGCTGGCGATGAAGCTTATATATGTGATCCAAATACAATTTAGCCACTTCAGCTGCTGAGTAAGGGTGTGATAGTGCTAAAAAATGACTATATTTAGTAAACTTGTCAACCACCACTAAAATACAATTCTTCCTTAAAGATGTAGGCAAGCCCTCAACAAAATCCATAGTTATAACTTCCCAAGCTTGCTGAGGAATAGGTAATGGTTGTAGCAGTCCTGGTTTAGCAACATGTTCCACCTTAGTTTGTTGACATACTGCACAAAGTTTAACATAATTGACCACCATAGCTTTAAGTCTAGGCCAATAAAAGTAAGATCTAACTCTCTGATAAGTTGCTTGACTTCCAGAATGACCCCCATGAGGTGAGTCATGTAATGTCTGAAGAATCTGTAGTCTAAGAGATCCAACCTCTCCAATATAAACTCTATCCTTATATCTAAGGATTCCCTTTGAATACCTCCACTTAGTATCAACAGTAGAATGAACAACCAATTTGGTGATCCAATCAGTAGCCAATAAATCTTCCTTATAACTAGCCTCCACCTCTTGCACCCAGCTAGGAATAATTAGAGTTGTGCCCATAGCCAAACACTGTCCTTGATCCTCCCATTGT